CTAACATAGACTCTGGAAAAAAAAATGGCATATATTCTCCCTCATATGTGGATCCTAGCACCAAATCCTTATAAGTGAATAGTATCCAGACATAACTACAGGAACCAGGACAATGAATAGGAACTAGGGAAGTAAAGGAAAAGAAAGAATCTGAAAGAGAACAATAGGAAACAGGTGTTAACAAGGGAGACATAGATAATAGTGGGGTTATTTTAAGGAGAGTGGGGAGGGAAGGTTGTACAAGGAACCTAGGGGATAAGGGGAAAGAAGGAGCTCAAGAGAGGTAGGACAGTAGGAGAAGGGTATTAGTAAGGGAGAAAGGGGGAAATGGGGGCACTTTAAGCAGCAAAACCATGATGGAGGGGGGAGACAATGTGAGAGATAAACAACGCCTAGCTAGTTTTGAAAATCAGAGAGAACCATATTACTCCTACAACCTACTGACAAATTATACATAGCAGATCAAGAAATATATGTCTAGGTAAGGTTTATCTGAGATCAACCGATCTTTGCCCAAGATTTATCTACATGACATATAGTAATTAAAAATACCAGACAGGTGGAACTAACCTTCTTGGGTGTTTAACAGACATACTTTGAGGTCTATGTCCCTTTGGTCAGAGGGACACAAAGGACAGTTTTTGCTTCTTGCCCTCCTAGGTCGACTAGTTCCAGGGGACTATGAGCATCTCTCAAAATGTCCTATAATGGTGGTGGATCACCTGTCCTCTTGATCAAGGAGGCCAAGGAGATCCCACCAGATGGACTTGAACTAGTGTCCAGTCTATAAAGAGGAGGGTCAACACAGAGGAATCATTTCCTCCATGCTTCCAAGCGAAGCCAACCATGGTCGAGTAGGACCTTTGACTTATCTTCACATAGGCAGAACTGGTAAAAGAAAGGAGCCAGGGGCTCCTCCCAAGCCCATGTGACCCCTGAGGAACAGATCCTCAAACAACCTTAAGAGTAAAAATAAATCAGTTTATCTTGTCCAACTGTATGGACTTATTTATCCAAAAGGAAAGTATAACCAAAGATTAAATGGGCCAACATAACTTCATAAGAGTCCATATGTATAGCTAAAAGGCTACATAATAAGCAACAATGCCAGACAAGTGATACCTTCTTTTGAGTTGTTGACCAGGATGGCCAAAGGGGATCCCAGATAGTAACCCAGCATAGAACTGGGAAAATGAACAGCAGACCCCAATCTTATCCAAAGGAATATAGACAACTTATTACTGCTAGAGGAGGAACAGCTGACCTCCTAAAACAAAGACTTCTAGATAGGATGACTAGATTCACCAGAAGAACAAGCAGTGGGGAATGGCTGGGGGTGCCAACGACACAGCAGACAGTAGCAGGGCTATTGGAGGGTGCTACCTAGGAAGTGGGTGTATAAATAAATTTTTAAAAAAAGAAAAAGAAATTATTCTTCAAAGCATAAAAATTTGCTCCTTAATAATTAGATGTGAAAAACATTACCATTGAAATCTACTTGATGACTTTATATCCATGTTCAGAGGCCAAGGCTCCAAGTGCAAACGATTATGATTAGTAATATTCAGATACATACAGATGAGACCCATGTGCCTACATCTTAGTCTTATTAGCAAAAACAATGAGTCTATAAGAAACAGTATATTTTAAAATGAAATGGAGATTTTTTTGTCATTTTGAGACAGGGTCTCCCTGTAGCCCCAGATGACTGAGTACAATATTGTATAACTGTATTAATTCAACTGTAAACCTAAAAATTTACAGCCAATTTTGAAAGAGATGCATCTTAGCTCTGGGAATTGTTATTGAATATGTCAATACTGTTATAATGAAAGGCTTCTTCTAATTATATGGTTATTAAATAATTTTTTAAAAAATGAGAAATTGATAGTTCATAACTTTCAAAAAAAAAAATACATCGCAGACTGCAGAGAGCATTCAGTAACTAAAATGCTTCTATAAAGCATGAGAACCTAAACTTGATTCTATGAAAAAAGTTGCGAATGGTGTCATCTCACACTTAAAATTCCAGTACTAGAGAGGTGGAGACAGGTAGATCTTTGAGGTTCACTGGTAACCACTGAGTCAATTCAGTGAGCTCCAGGCCACTGAGTGACCCTGCCTCAAAAAACAAAGTGAATGGCTCCTGAGGACATGGTCCTCTGGCCTTCACATGCACACGCGCACACACACCACACACACACCACACATACGCACGCACACACACACACATGCATGAGCACTCACATATATACAAAAAAAGCGCCTTTTAATATCATAGGACAGTTAATATAGTTCTTTTACTTATTTTTTATTTTTTTATTTTATGTGTATGAGTGTACTGCCTGCATGTATGTAAGTGCACCCATGTTGTGCAATGTCCATGGATGTGAAACAACAGCACTGGATTCCCCTGGAAGTAGAGTTATGGACGGTTGTTGGCCATCATGTAGGTGCTGGGAATCAAACCTTGGTGCTATGTAGGAGCAGCCAGTGTTCTTAACCACTGAACCATCTCTCCAATGCCCCACCCCTTTTATTCAGACAGGGTCAACTTGTAGCCACAGCTGACCTGGAACTCACTATGGAGACCAGGTCTCTGTGAGGTGTGCCTGCCTCTGCTCCAGAGTGCTGGATTAAAGGCATGTACCACCACACCCAGGTACAAAGTCATTTTTAAACCCTCAAAACAGTTGATCCTTCACCCCTTGAACAATCTATGACGTTTTGTTGGGTTTTTTTTTTTGTTTTTTGTTTTTTTTTAAACATAGTCACCAAGGATATCAGGGCTAACACCACAAGGGGGAAACTTTGGTGAGTAAAACAGATGTACTGTTTTCAATTAACTGTATGTTCAGTGTTTAAAGGGCCCGAGAGTCCTAAAAAATTAATTGTTCCTAAGCAGGTTCAAGAACCTACAGAAGTCCGACCATAAATATTTAGATTTAACTAAGAAACTGTACCCAGTAAGTTATAAGCACCACTTCAGCATCTCCTTAAGGATTTAAAAACATTTTGGGGTGGAGTTGGAGAGCTAAACCTGGTAAGTAAGAAAATGCATTTTCTGAGGCTGGAGAGATGGCTTAGTGGTTAAGAACACTGACTGGTCTTGCAGAAGACCCAGGTTTGAATACTAGCACCCACATGGCAGCTAACAACTGTCCATGGCTCCAGTTCCAGCGGATTCAACAGCCTCTTCTGTCCTCCGAGGGCACTGCACCATACGAGTGCACTTACTTACATGCAGGCATAACACTCATACACATAAAATAATAAAATGTTTTTTAAAAAGAGAAAGAAAATGCATTTTCAAAAGGAGCCAGAATTCAAGAGTTAGTTCTCAAGCACACCACCTAGGTGTGTGTTTGAGCAATAGAAAGGCAGTTCCTTTTTCATACTGCTCTTGTCTGCTTCCTCACATTTACACAGCTCATACCAGTGTGAATCCCTCAGTCATCAGTCATCATCAATGACATTTGCCATTGGTGAGGGCCTAAATACAATGATAGCATTTATGCAGAACAGAACAGCAACAGCAGAATTTTTACTAGCCACAGATGTAGGCATCCAATAACTTCAAAAGTTCTACTTTTGGTTGGTTTTATTTTTGGGGTTTTTGAGACAGGGTCTCACTAAGTATCCCTGTGTTAGAACTCACTATGTAGACCAGTCTAGCCTCAAACTCAGAGATCTGCCTGCCTCAGCTGGGATTAAAGGAATGTACTAACATGCCCAGCTATACTAACATCTTAACTTGGATAGCATTAGCTTGTTTTGAAAAGAACATGCTGAATTAAGTCCTATTCTGCCTCCTGCAAAGCTCTATAAGAACTATCTCTATAGTTGAATCCCTTTATGATTTGAAAGGCACTTAAATTTTATCTTTCCTAGAGAGCTAAGAAATTCTTTCTACACTAAACAAATGAAAGCAAGCAAATCTATCTCAGATGAACAACCTCTTCATTCTGGCTTTTTTTTTTTTTTTTTTGGTTTCTAAGTATCAAACAAGGTAAATATGGACATTTGTTTTGTGAGGAAATAAAGTCTGTACTGATAAGAGACCAAAAATAATGTGTGGTTTTCCCAAGAACTTTGCCACAGATGACTAAGAACTCATACCCATTGGGAAGGGAGTGACTGAAGGCTAGAGAGAGAGCTCGGAGGAAAGCACTGGCTGCTCTTGCAGAGGACCCAAGTTTGGTTCCCAGCACCCACATGGGCTAACAACCGTCTGTTTAACTCCAATTCCAGGGGATCTGTCGCCTTCTTTTGACTTCCATGGGCATAACACAACACAGGTACACTTACATGCATGCAGGCAATACACACATACATATAAAAATAAAATATTAAAGGGAGTGATTCATCCCCTTTCTTCTTTCTATGAGCAACATGGTATACTAAAATGAGAATCAATGGCACATTTAACATAGCTAGAACCAGTTAATCAGTGTGGAAAACCAGAAACAACTAATTCCCTTAGCACTAGAGATTCTCAACTAAAACAGACTTACCTAGCAATGGAGAACACAATAGATCTAGCTTTGGTTCCTGTACTGGACCTTCTGATTGGGTCAATTCACCTTCCTCCAGAGAAGGAAAATCTGTCACTTCTATTCCTTCTGCTCCCATGGTAATCCTGGTTTGAGATGTATCCAAGGATTGGGAAGAGTCCCTTTCTTGAGGAGGATGATGCCAAGACTCTGCTCTCTGAAACAGTAATTTTAGAGGAAAACATGCTAAGTCACGAATTAATACACATTAGCATTTAGATTACCGGTGCTCATGGTATATTTAATGATACTCTCACCAGAGTTTGGAAAAAAGAACGCTTGTTCCTTCTGTGCCTGTCTCATCACATTAATCACCTTTAAACCTCTTGTTCTGACTCCCATCTCCTCCTACCAGACAAGCACTGACACTCATGCTGTATTTTAAGTTCTCACTGTTAAGTCAACAGATTTGGTACTACATGACAAAACCATACTGTGGCTATAAAAAACAGCTTAACAAGTATTTCTAAGCCTAAAGTTACATTGCTCCCTAAATACAGCCAGTTTACTGACAGATTAACCAGGCTGGTTTCTAGGACTCCTGGCTCTTTCCGGTTTAAGACATTATCACTCAGTGGGTGTGGTGGCCCATGCCTTTAGTCCCAGAAGTAGGGGGGCAGAGGCAAGCGGATTTCTGTAAATTCAAGGCCAGCCTAGTTCCAGGCCAGCTGTGGCTATAAGGAGACCCCGCCTCAGACGAAAAAAAAAAAAAAAACATTATCACCTCTATGAACAATGACATTTTTGTTTCTTGTCTATTTACCCTGATTTTAGAGTCATGAATCAAACCATGCTTCTGAAACTATGGTAAAGGACCAGTTTTCCTACTTGACATTCATCAGGCAGACATACTTTATTAAAATGCCTACAAAAATTAGTAAATAGAAATCTAATCTTTTTTTTTTAATGTCTAAGTGTATTGTCTGCATGTATGTTAGTGCACTTGTGTTGAGCAACACCCATGGAGGTCAGAAGATGGCATCAGAAACCCTACAAGGGCTGTTAGCCACCATGTGGGTGTCGGGATTCAAATCTTGGCCCTCTGCAAGAGCAGCCAGTGCTCTTAATCTGAGTCATCTCTCCAGCCCTATCCCCCATAGTCTGGAACTCCCTATGTAGACCAGGCTGGCCTCGAACTCACAGAGATTCACCTACCTCTGCTTCCCGAGTGCTGGGATTAAAGGCGTGCGCCACCACACCTTTTACTGTCATTTCTTTTACAGTCATTTTAAAATAATTTAATGAGGAATGAGAACCAATCAATCTAGATTAACAGCATCATTATTCCTCAACTAAAATTAAGTGTAGCAATAAAATTTTATATTAAAACATTCCATATTTATTATCTGACAATCACATTTACTAGCATATTGTTGAACATTTTAGAATACCTTACTTTGTTTTATAACTCTGCTCCATAATTTTCTCTATTTTTCATATAAGGAAATTCAATTTTCTTCAAAATTCTTAATTTGTATTAGAGAATCTACTGGGTTCAAGAGCTTTTTAGGTAACTGGTACTAACAAAACTCTGCAACTTCTTCTGTAGTAGTCCTGGTCCATCTCTATAAACTCTGATGGGTTTGTTGCCTTTTTTTTTTTTTTTTTTTTTTGGTCTTTTTTTGTTATTTTGTCTTTTTTTTGTTGGGGGGAGCTGAGGTCCGAACCAAGGGCATTGTGCATACCATTGAGCTAAATCCCCAACCCCAAACTTTGATGGGTTTGTATAGAGTCAATTTCATTTGCTTTTCTCTTTGCAATTTTTGTCTACTTGCAGTTTCTCATTATCTAAAATCTTTAAGTAAGTCACTCAATTTTAATTTTATTTAATGTAAAAACATGAGATAGTATTACATTGATGGCTATTTTAAATACATAATGCCTTGATTTTCATTATTTTGTAAATATTTCTGGGCTTTTCTTACTGTACAACTTGAACATTTTTAAGAGAAAACAGATATTGTTAATTCCTAGATGTTATAAATCCATAAAAATATCACAATTTAGAGGATTCTTCGTTTATCTAAAGAGATTTCTCTTTAAAGAACTATTTTCAGTATTTAAAATTCATTAATAAAATGTTTTTGCAGTAAACTTCAAAAGATGTCTAACTATTCACTGTAAAATGACAGTAATATAAATATACCTAGAAAAAAAAAGATTGAAGAAAAATATTCTAAAACAAAACTACCCATCTGTGGCTGTGAGATTACATGGAAGGGTCGAACCCTGACATTCCAAAATATCTCAGCAACTTCTACGACAGATAATCAGTCAACTAAATAGCATCAAACATGCGATTTAGAAGAAACATGCATTTACACCTTTCTAACATCTGGTATTAGAAGAAACCTCGGAATGAGCATTCATTTTTTGTCCTTTGAGAACACTCCATTTTTCAGGGGCAGCAGGCCAATCAAAGATTAAAAAGTGAGGAAAATTCTAATCATTTTGTGGGTCTCACCATGGCAAAATTTCCAGTCCCAACTTACTCCTCAGCCTCATGAGCATGGTTTGAGCCTGGATGTTTATTACACTCCTCACACTGCAAATCTCTAGGTACTTCCTGCTTTACTCTGCAGCTCCCTGTCTTGCTAGGCCCTTATCTACCCAGATTTCTAGTTCATGGTTAAAAACAAAGAGCACTATCTACTAAAGGCCTTGCCATTTCATCACATTTTTGCAATGTTTTCCATATTCTTCAGTAGTCTCTGTCCTGCCTCCTTTCATCTCACCTGGTTTCTTACTACTCAACTATGTCTCTCCCCTTGCAAACACTTTCATAATTTTCCATACTATAAATCTTAACCTCTGGGCCGGGCATGGTGGCACACACCTTTAATCCCGGAACTCTGCAGGCAGAGGCAGGTAAGTCTCTGTGACTTCCAGGCCAGCTGGGGCTACAGGAAGACCCTGTCTCAAAAATAACAAAAAAAAAAAAAAATCTTAACCTCGATCAACATTCCTTTTCTTGTATTACATATTTTTCTACAATGTTTCTACCATACAAATATTTTTGCTATGCCCTTTTAATCATGTAAAAGAGCCCTCCGGGCATGGTGGCTCATTTGAAATAGTCAAACCTGAATAGTGAAAAAGGTTTAAAAAAAAAAAAAGTGAACAGAATCCAAGGGACATATTGGGACATAATCAAGCTGACTCTGTATGCATTATCGGAATTCTAGTCAAAAGAAAAGAGAAACAGGCAGTGGGGCTGGGGATGTAGCTCAATGGTAAAGAGCTAGCCTCCCACATGCAGAACTCTGGATTCATTCCCCAGTACCTCAAGAAGAAAAGTCTATCTAAAAAGATGAGAAACTCCCTCTGTTGGCTGCAGGTGGTACTGTAGTCACTGCACAGTCCACTGCCTCCCATAACAGTACTCAGTAGCTATGTTTCCAAACAAACAACAACAAAAAGCTGATGCTGAGTGTGGTGACACATACCTATAATCCAACATTTAGGAGACAAGAGGAGGATTAGAAATTCAAGAGCAGCTTGAACTAGGGAGTTCTAGTTCAGCCTGGGCTGTATAAGGGAAACCCTATTACAAAAACAGTAAATAAATAAATGCAGAGGATTGCTCAACATAGATCACCTCACTTTGACTAGCAAAGTGCAAGCCTGGGTTGAATCCCTACCCCACCCCCGAAAAAAAAGAACTGCCAAAATGTTTATTTGGGCCAGGTGTGGTGGAGCATACTGTAATCCCAGCATTCAGAAGGCAGTAGGATAGAGAACTAAGAGGCCAATCTATGCAACATACCAAGTTCCATACAAGACCTTGTCTCAGAAAAAAAAAAAAAAAAAAGACAAAATATATAAACAAGGTCAAACTATAGTCTGTCTAAAAAATACTGAGTTTGGGCTGGGCGTGGTGGTGCATGCCTTTAGTCTCAGCACTCGGGCAGTGGAAGCAGACAGATCTCTGTGAGTTCAAAGCCAGTTTGGTCTACATAGAGAGTTCCAGGCCAGCTGGGACTACAAGGAGACCCAGTCTCAAAAAGACCCCCCCCAAAAAAAACAATAGTTTGGACCCACAGACTGAAAGTCAAAGGATATCAGAAGACATTCCATGCAATGGTTACCAAAAAAGAGGAGAGCTGCTCTAGTAACAAACATGTTTCGTATTTTAAACTGCTACAATAAACAAAGGACATTATATAATGATAAAAGGGTCAGCTCATAAGATGCAGCAATTATCACTCTAACTGTATATACGCCAAACATTAGAGTTCCTAAATACTTAAAGCAACTGGTAGAACTGAAGGGAAGTCTACAGTGAATGGCAGATTGCATCAAAGCAGACAGAAGATTAAAGAAACAGAGGACCAGCTAGATGTGGCCCACGCCTTTAATCCCAGCACTTGGGAGGCAGAGGCAGCCAGACCTCTGTGAGTTTAAGGCCAGCCTGGTCTACATACATAGCCTGTTCAAGGCCAACTGGGGCTACAGGGAGACCTCGTTTAAAAAAAAAAAAAAAAAAAAAAAAAAAACCCAGGATTTGAAGAATATCATAGACCAACTGAACCTAACATACATAAGCACTGCACCTAATAATAAAAAACACATTCTTCAGAGAGATGGCTCAGTGGTTAAGATCACTGACTGCTCTTGCAGAGGACCCCAGGGTTCAATTCCCAGCACCCACATGGTGGCTAACAACCATCCGTAACTCCAGTTCCAGGGGAATCAGACACCTTCTTCTGACCTCTGTGGGCATAGCACTGCACAGGTGCATTTACACACATGCAGGGAACAAACTCATACACATAAAATAATAATAAATAAAATATTTTTTTAAAAAACATTCTTCAAGTACACATGGAACATTCCCATTCCCCAGGATATACCATCAGACCATAAAAGAAGCCTTAAATCCAAATAAATTGAAATCATACAAATTATCTTTTCTAATCTCATGAAACTAGAAAGCAACAGCAGAAAGAAAGCAGAAAATTAAATTTGCAGAAATTTAAGGAAACCACCTATGAGGCAAAGAAATTAACAAAGATAATAGGAAGATACTTTAAGGCAAATGAAAATAACACAGTATATCAAAACATGGGAAGCAACAGAAGTTAGAGATAAAATTAGCATAGTAAATGCCTAAAAGATTTTAAAGCTCAAATCAAAAAGCTACCATTACACGTTGAA